TATTGCTTATGTTTTAACGTTCTACTTATTATATAAATTAGTATTTGGAAAATATAAACCAAATATACATGTAGCCCAACTGGTTAAGGCTTTGGCCATTTAATAGGTGGAGTTCTCAGGTTCGATCCCTCCCCCCATCCTTCAGCCACATAATTATTTTTTCAAACAAATTTCAAAAATGGTCCATGTGGTTTACCATATATCACGAATTTAGTTTCTTTATACCTGAAAAGACGAAAATGCCCTTACCCTAACGGCTGAATACTAACGGAGTTAGTAAAAAGGGCCATTTGTGCAAGTTTTGCAAACCACAAGGACCATTTGCATAAAAAAAATTAGCAGGGACTGACTTTGTAACTTTTGGTAAACCACATGGACCATTTTTGTAATTTTGTCTTAAAAAAAATTGGACTTATTAAAAATAATACATAACCATATATATGGGGCCATTTATATAATTTTCTCCTTAAAAACAAAAAAAAAATTAAACATAAAAAAATTAAAAAAAAAAATAAATAACTATCATCGTTTATAAGGGGACAAGGTTTTAAAAACATAAAGACGCAATTTTGTAAGAAGACTAAACACCCTCTTAACAGTCATCTTTTAGACACTGAGTAACAAATAACCAACGCATTAAGTGGAAAAGACTCCACCTACGTTGATATGGATGACAACGGCACCGACACCCACTCCACCGGAGTCGAGTCTCCGCTACTCATCAACTTCGTTGACGGCGTTGTCGACTATAGAGGACATCCAGTTCTCAGATCAAAATCCGGTTGCTGGCGATCGGCATATTTTATCATTGGTAATGCTTAGCCTCTCAAAAACATTTCCAAAAACAGTAAAAAAAATCCAAGCTCTTAATGTTCATGCAGGCGTTGAAGTGGCAGAGAGATTTGCGTACTATGGCGTCAGTTCAAATTTAATCACATACTTGACCGGTCCCTTGGGGCAATCGACGGCCACCGCAGCCGAGAATGTCAACACGTGGACTGGAACGGCGAGGCTTCTTCCTCTTCTTGGCGCTTTCATTGCTGATGCTTTTCTGGGTCGATACCTAATGATTATAATTGCTTCTCTGCTTTATGTTCTGGTTTTCATCTCTTCCTCATTAATTTGAATCATTTTTTACTTTTCCAAGAATTTCCGTACGTACCTACACAATTGTGTTAAACTACATCAGCAATTATTTCTACATTCAACAATTCGGAATAAATCATTAACTGGTTGCTCTGTTGATATCATTTTGATAATTAATGTCTGATCACAATTGACAGGCGCTTGGGTTTCTGGCTCTTTCCACTTTTATTCCTTCAAACTGTGAAACCGCCAATGGCAGATCATCATGTTCTTCTCAACTCCAAGTCGTCATGTTCTTCATTTCACTGTATCTTGTGGCAATTGCCCAAGGTGGCCACAAGCCCTGTGTTCAAGCTTTCGGGGCAGACCAGTTTGATGCAGATGATCCAGTAGAACGTAAAGCCAAGAGCTCATTCTTCAACTGGTGGTATTTTGGAATGTGTGCTGGCCCTACAGTCGGAATCTTTGTTCTTAGCTACATTCAAGATAACCTTAGTTGGGCTCTTGGATTTGGGATTCCTTGCATAATCATGGCTTTTGCCCTCATCGTATTCTTGATTGGAACCATAAATTACCGATTTGCAGCAAAAACCGAGGAGAAAAGTGCTTTTTTCAGAATTGGCCACGTGTTTGTTAAAGCAGCTAGGAATTGGAAAAGTGCACCTTCAATAATGTCTTCAGATGAGGAAGCTTTTGGAATCTTTGATCATCAACGTTCTAAACAATTCAGGTAACAGTACATTAACATTTAACACGTTATTCTTGAATTCCTCGTGTTTTTTTGGGTTTAAATTATCTTTTATTTTTTATTTTTCAGATTTCTCGACAGAGCTTTGTTTAAGGGATCGAATGAAGATGGAACTGTTTGTAATATTGACGAAGTGGAAGAAGCAAAGGCAATTCTTAGACTAGTTCCAATATGGGTTAGTTGTTTAGGGTATGCAATTGTACTAGCTCAAACTTCAACATTATTTACAAAACAAGGAACCACCATGGACAGGTCAATCGGGTCAAATTTCAAGATTCCAGCAGCCACGCTACAATCATTCATCGGTCTCTCGGTTATAATTCTAATTCCCATTTATGACATCATCTTGGTTCCTCTTACACGATCCATTACAAGGAAACCATCAGGTATAACCATGCTTCAGAGAATCGGAATCGGAATCCTCATTTCCATTGTTTCAATGGTGGTTGCAGCAGTCGTTGAGACAAAAAGACTCGAAACTGCTCGTGAGTATGGATTATTAGATGATCCAAATGCAACGATTCCAATGAAGATATGGTGGTTATTGCCTCAATACCTATTGGCTGGAGCTGGTGATGTTTTTACCATGGTGGGTATACAGGAATTCTTCTATGACCAAGTGCCAAGTGATCTTAAGAGCATGGGCCTCGCACTTTACCTGAGTATCATAGGGATTGGTAGCTTCTTAAGCAGCTTTCTGATCTCGATTGTTGGGAAAATGACAGGTGGAAATGGTGAAGATGGTTGGATATCTGATAATGTGAATCGAGGGCATATTGATTACTTTTACTATCTTCTTGCGGGAATTAGTGTGGGGGCGTTTATGATGTACATTTATGTCGCAAGATCTTATGTTTATACTCGAGAAAGAGGCTTGTGATGTTGCTGAATTAAGTGCTTTGGGTTTAGATTTGGTTTGAATTGAAGTTGAGGCACGTAGCATGATATATTGTTGTAATGGTTGCATTGACCATTTATTTAATAGAAATAGTTTAAATATAGAACCCTTTAAATAACTATACTTATGGTTTAACTTATGAAAATTTATCTTTTTACCCATGGCATTTAAGGTCGATTGAAGTGAATACAATTTAACAGGAGGATTGTCATATTATTATTTTATATTTTATAAATTCTACCATCATATTAAACTTTCAAAAAATTCTAAAAAACATTTATTTTAAAAAATATATTTATTATTGAAAAGTTCAACGACCATTGAAATACATATTTGTTAGATAACACAGTGTCATCCCATCTATTACTATTAAACTCCATATTTGTTGGATACCACCGTGTCATCTTACTATTGTTGAGAGTAATTCTTTGAATGTCAACTAAACATTACATCTCATTAAATTTTTTTATTTATTGAACTACATATTTGTTGAATACCACCGTATCATCATATTATTATTGAGAGTAATTCTTTGAATGTCAAATAACATTACATCTCATTAAACTTTTTTATTCAACTATGCATTGTGATGTCTAACAACCCTACAAAGTTCTTTAATTTTACCAAAATACTCGTGTTACAATCTGTGACTAACTCATTTTTTAATCTAACATTCGATGGTCAATATTGGTAACAAGGCCGATAAAACTTTAAACTATACTTATAATTTCTATGTAACATCCGGTTTTCCAGGTATATTATTTTCATTATTTAATTTGAGAATCTTGGAGAGACTCGACGAGTTGACGCATCAACTCGTCGAGTAGGGTCGTGACTTGTGACGTGTATTAATGAATGGATTCGACGAGTCTGTGAGCCGACTCGCCGAGTCAGCACTGTTGAGGGAAACCCTAATTTAGCGGGTTTGTGGCCTATATAAAGGCACTTATAGCCTCCCTTTGGCGGCCACACTTCCGTGAGAAACCCTAAACGACCTGGGAGCTCATAGAGTGAGAGAGAGAGAGAGAGAGAGAGAGAGAGAGAGAGAGAGAGAGCTAACTTTGAGATCTTTGGTGCATTTGT